GTTCTTTGGTCACGACCAATCCGGTACTTGTCTGTTGACGCTTTTGTAATTTAAGGTTTGATGACACCTGGTGCTGAGCTGAAGCAGCCGCCTGAAGTGACAGTGGTTACAGAGAATTGGGCAGAAGCTCGCTAGAAAAACATTTCGTGTCAACTTAGCGAAAAAAACTTGTTTTAATTTTCCGCACAACAAAAGTTCCCTGTGGTGCTGGATGCTTGCGTAGTGTGCTAACCTTACTCGTGTAAGTCAAAATGTAAAAAAAAACTAAACCGCTTAAAGTTACTTGTCAGTTGACAAAATTCATGATTAGAAAACATTACTACTGAAGAACAAAACGTAGTCCTTAGTTAGTAATCTCGACCGGTAGGTCATTAGATCCCAAGGGAGACAGGATCGCGCCTTTCATTTCGATTCCCTGATAATGGGAAAGATCTCACGATACTCAATATTAATGAGAACTGGGATTAATTGCCAAAATTATGGATCGAATGGACAAACTGCCAAAAAGGGGGTACCAAAACTTTTTCAGAAGAAGATGCGACTCAACTGGAACAAGAGTTTTATTTTCCTGACGTTTCGGATTCCGTCGGGAATCCTTAATTATATGTAATGGTAGGAGTCTGAGTCATGCGCAGATAGGAGTGAAACATGCACAAATTGCACGGTATTTATATTTCGTTTTCACCCCTATCTGCGCATGACTTAGACCATCCTACCATTACCTATGACTAAGGATTCCTGACGGAATCTGAAACGTTAGGAAAATAAAACTCTTGTTCCAGTGGTCGCATCTTCTCATTTTTAACTGATTCCTGGGACTCGCATATTTACTTCTATTAGCAAAACATTTTCGTCCATAGGGAACTAGAAGAGAAATGTGTTATACTTAAGACGAGCCTGCTTATTTCATCGTCAGCCAGTGACCTCCATGTCCTCACGGTACAGACAGGCAAGACGACCCCAAAAAACTTTCTTTTTTAAACTTGTTAGATCTGAAATTCCACCACGACAGAGAAAATTTTTGAGTACCACTAGCAGGGAGTAAGTGACCAAGGCGACGTAAAAAATGCAGCGCGTTATATTATAAGGTCAGGCATCGTCACATTGCATGGACTTGTCAGTCAGGTCGACACGCACAATCTGCTCAGGGAAGTGATGTCCCTCACAGAATTCCAGAAAATCCTCCATTTGATCACTTTTTACGGCCGTCCGCATGTCCGCAAAGAACCGATAACAGCGGGTGGAATTGTGACTGTAGGAAAAAGTTGAAAAGAAAGAGAGAGACATTTAGATATGTGACGGCGTCAAAATGAGATATGGTGAAGAGTTGATCGTCTGTAGCATTAAATTATTAGAAAAATGCTGGCCCATCTCAGAAGCCCAAATTTATTCCCGGAAAAATACAACACAACGTAAGGCAAAACAATTTAAATTATGATCCGTTATCACCCTTGCCATCGATTAACAATATCAGTTTTTCGATTAAACCCAATGGCTTCGATTCTAAGAAATCTTTGTATGCAACTTCTACCTCAGTTTTGCTCGCGAAAACTTTGTT